TTTCATATGCACATTTCAAGTTTCAACTATGAATATAAACAAAGAATGAGAAAGATTTAAATACAAGAAAATATAAACCTTCTTCTAAGAATTAAGAGTAAGGACCCGTCTTTTATTATAAGATAGATAAAAAGAAAAAAAAGTGATAATACACTAGTATAGTTAAGCACTTGTACTCTTTACTAATAAAGTTTCTTGACAAAATACGTTCTACTAAAAACATGTAATAGATGACTATGAAATAAGTCATTTCAAACGTTTTTTTTTTATTTTGTTTTTTTTTTCAGTCTCATATCTAAACGGTTGGTTCAATAAAGGATTGTTGACTTAGTCTTGATCATTTGAGAATTAAGTATTTCATTACCCGCAATTCTTTTAAATATAATATATAAAGTAGCAACCATTTTAATTTTAAAAACATGCTTGATGATACGAATAAATATATTTCTGTTTTCCATATATATATATATATATATATATGTTCATTTAAAACCATGCTAATTTTATGAGACATGAGAACGATATCATAACCACTCATCTTGAAAATCAAAAAATATAAAAAATAAATCTAAAATGCAAAATAAAAGGAAAACCATAAAACCACGTATATGAAAACCAATAGATGTATCAAAAAATTCATTATGCCGATCTTCAATAGCCTTTTGGATATGTTGCATATAAAACGTCGAAAGTATAATATGAAACGTTAATAGAACCACAAATTAATTATGTCGATCCAGTAAATTTTAGTATGTAGGTGATAATGATGCTACATGTAAAAATGATGTTAGACACTGATACATGTAACAATAATGTTGATGATTTTTATTTAGGAATATATTACTTAGAAAAATATGATTATGAAATTGAATGGTTGGTTGAAGTACACAAATACCATTCTATGTTATGCCTAATATACTGGTATGTCTAGACCCGATATATTCAGGTAGTCCATTGCACAACCAAAAATTTCTCTACATTTGTCCGAAATGTCAATTTCACAATGTCAACATCACTGGTTTTTCAATAAAATGTCATATGTTAAACTTATGTATCGTATATACTTCTCATCTCCATGTTCATTTTACTTTAAAAAAAATAGTAAAAGAATAAGTATTTTTTTAATTACAAAATTGTTCATCGGATACACATTGTTTTTTAAATTCCGAAATGTATTTTATTTATTTATTTTTTTATGGTTAAAATAGTACTTTTGACTTAACATAAAATAGTGCGGAATCTATATTTCAAGATGATTGGCTATTTTTCAAAAAAGAAAATGGTTTATTTTTTTGAAGTATTAATATTTATATTTAAATGTGGTTAGTTTATAAATAGGTTATATTTTGTATTGATGGGAAATTATTGCAAGTATTTTTAACTAATTAACTAATTTTAGTAAGTAAATAATGATTAAAATAAAAAAATCAAATTTCCACAAAAAGATAATATGTAATATTTTTTTCAAATAAAATAATAAATATATATGGAATTTTTAAAGTTGTCTGTTTCAAAAATATATAAAAAGACTTTTTAAACATACTTTGTCTTTTTTTTTTTTTTAATTAATATTTTAACTAAATTTATAACAATTAATCTATATAGCATGGAACGGAATGGAACGGAGGCAAGTGATGTCATGTTGTATTGACCAAATTATTAGCATCAAACACGTACTCACCCACAGCTTCAATCATCATTTTCATTTTCCCAATTCCATTTTGGATATTCATTTTTCTTTCAAACCCTCACCCACCTCCTCCGCCCTTCCGCCACCAATCTCCGCCCTCGTCCCTCTGGACGCCTCCGCCAAATCCATTTATCCGTGACTTACTCATAATCCAGCTCCTTTACCTGTAACCAATCCCTCAAAAAAATTCCCAATTCCCAACCAATTCCTATGCTAGGGTTTTAAAACAACAAAAAATGCTTGTCAATAATTTCGATCACGGGATCTCCTCGGGCTCTAAATCGATAAACGAGTCGGTGAATGGGTCTCATGATTTCACAATTAGAGGCTACTCCCTCGCTAAAGGGATGGGTGCCGGTAAATACATATCCAGCGATACCTTCACCGTAGGTGGATACGATTGGGCGATTTACTTTTATCCAGATGGAAAGAATTTGGAGGATAATTCCATGTACGTTTCGGTGTTCATAGCTTTGGCGAGCGATGGTACGGATGTTAGGGCGTTGTTTGAGCTTACTTTGTTGGATCAAAGTGGAAAAGGTAAACACAAAGTTCATAGCCACTTTGATCGGGCGTTGGAGAGTGGACCTTATACTTTGAAGTACCGAGGAAGCATGTGGTATGTACAGATACAAATCCTTGTTCTTATGAATTATATAACCCAGTTTTTCAATTGTATGAACTATGAATTGCTAGTATACTTTTCATTATATATACTGAATTGAATTGTTCATAAGTTCAATCAACATGCGTCTGTATCATGTATGTGTTTACATTAGTTTCTTTAATGACGTTATCTGTTATCCATGTCCAAATTTGCTGAGTTGGGCTTGTGTTTGTGAAGCGAACAAGAGAAACATAGAATTGGGCATAAAAGATTTTACAATCATAACTAATAGTTATAGTTTCTAGTCTCTATGCTTTTGAGATTCAAGAACACTGCTTTTCTTGTTTTACTATACTTACCTTCACACAAACAAGCTTCTGAAGAATGAATGAATGTATTGGAAATTGGTTTTCAGGGGTTACAAGCGTTTCTTTAGAAGGGTAAGTTTGGAAACATCAGATTACCTAAAAGACGATTGCCTTTCAATGCATTGCACAGTTGGAGTTGTGAGAAACCGAGTTGAGGGACCCAAACATTTCACCATTTCCATTCCACCATCTGACATGGGCCAAAATCTCAAATTCTTATTAGAATCCGAAACCGGATGTGACATCATTTTTCGTATTGGTCAAGAAACTTTCAAGGCCCACAAACTAATCCTTGCAGCCCGATCTCCAGTCTTCAGAGCCCAATTCTTCGGTCTAGTTGGAAACCCTAATATGGATCAAGTAGAGTTAAAAGACATCGAACCCTCAATTTTCAAGGTATTTACACTTTTGCCACTCAACCACTTTTTCCTTTTTTTTTTTTATTAATAACAGTTAGTTTCTCAATGAGAAAAATTGATGGTTTTTATTTTGTTATGTTAGGCTATGCTTGTGTTTATATACTCGGATACGTTTCCGGAAGCAGAAGAAAGCACAACGACAGGGTCAATGTCGTCAATTTACACGACATCAACAAACATGATCCAACATCTGTTAGCTGCTGCTGATAGATTTGGTTTGGATCGATTAAAACAGTTATGTGAAGCAAAATTATGTGAAGAAGTGAACACAGAAACAGTGGCAACAACTCTTTCACTTGCTGATCAACATCGATGTGCTCAATTGAAAGCCATCTGTCTCAAATTTGCTGCAGCAAATTTAGGAGGTGCGTGTTGATCTGACCGGTGTCATTGTTCAGGTTATATCAATTAATAAAATAGATAAATAAAAAAAAAAGCATTAATATTTGCAGATTTTATATAAAATAATGTTTTTTTGTTTTTTGTTTTTTGTAGTGGTGATGAGAACAGAAGGGTTTAAATATGTAGAAGAGACGTGCCCTTCGTTGCTATCGGAGCTTCTGGAAACGGTGGCGGCGGCGGCGGTGGAGGAGAGGTCTGGCGGTGAGGGGTTGAGTAGGAAGAGGAGTGGCGGCGGGAGTAGCATTATTGGGTTGGATTTGACATCGGCGGCGCAGATTGTGGCGGCGGCAGCGGCGGCGGCGGAGTCGGGGGATGCTAATGTCAGGCGTATGCGTAGACGGTTGTAATGTTTGCTTTTTAGTTTTTGTTGTTATTTTTGTTTTGCAATTATGATGAAAATGTGAATTTGAGTTTTCTTGAGTTTTATCTGCTAAAAATTGGTTTAAGTGTTGAGTAACATGTGTTTATAATTAGACTCCATTGCATTTAGACATTTAGTTATTGTTTTTTTTTTGTTTGTTTGTTTGTGAAGTTGGGCTCTTTTTGGGTTGTTTGGATGAAGACAGTGTTGAGTTGTGAAATCTGATTGCTTCTGTGTGACTTGAGCATCGGGTCTTGGGCTTCGGACAACATGCGGTTTTAGAGTTGAATTGAATGCTTTGTGGTTTTAGGGTTCAAATCAAATTCATGAGCCTCTCTCTCCGTGTAAAATCTTGATGTAATCGTAAGACCTCATAATGGAATTAATAAAAGCTATCTCTACTTCGTAAAAACGTGAATTCTGTAAGTTTTTGCCATCTTATTTTTGTTTAGTGTTTCTTTGTTGCAAGTAGGGAAACTTGTTTAGATTTGCCTAGGTAACCAAGGCTCTTGAACAAATTTAACGGTGGGAAAAAAACTTACAAACAAGATTGATCCAAGTAAAGAGCGTTGATTATATCATGAGGGACAAAATTGAAAATTTCGTTCATTGTTTTGGTAGAAATTTGTTGTTGGAAAAGTCAAAATAGGGACTCTTTAAAACATGTGCACAATATAAAAACCACATAAACAAAATAGATGATGTCAAATTACTACTTTGAAAAACTGTCATTTCCAGATCTATATCCACATAATGACATTCAGAACTGACATAATTGAAAAACTTACAAATGACAAAGTACATGATACAAGAGCATTATCCACTGCCATTTTAAGGAATTCTTAGTGAATCGAAACATCTCCCCTCATAGTGTTGACAAAAAAGTGTGGAAGTGATCATGTAAATGAAAATGAAATCAACTTCAAATAGGGCCTGGTATCCTTAAGATTAGGGTTATATTATGTCGTATTCCGACACATTTTTGTGTCACGTCTCACTTTTTTTTTTCTCGGTTTGGAACAATATTAAATCTGTCCGGAAGGTTAACAATATGTTCCCAATATAATGGTCGTTTTTCAAAATTATTATCGTGATTTAACTATATTATGAGTTTTCAAATAAATTTAGCAAAGTCAAAGATTTAATGCAGAAGTTAGGTTACATGTTTGACTCTTATACGCCCAGCCCACAATATCAATATTGTCTCCATGCAAAACTGCAATGTCATCATGATCGGGTAGTTGACTTTGTCTTCAGAAAAGTCAAATGAGACAAAAATGACAAATAT